CTATTATGTGGGGAGGGGGGGATCTCCTGAGGGGGGAGAAAAGAGGGGGGTTCCCTCAAGTATGAGAAAAGGGCCATAGAGGGTTGGGTGGGAGACTGCTTTATGGAGGGTCCTGTTCCCCATTCCCGTCTCCCCCTTGAGTTAAAACATCATTCTGTTTATTATATAATATAATGCATTTATTATACGCCATATATTATATATGCCTGTTATAAATGTGTTTTTATGTACCCATATATCCGTTTGTTAGCCCCTCTTATTAGTCCCGTATGTATTTTGGGGGATTAACTGCGTCCCTCAAAGGGATCCAGGAAAAACTGGGTTGAGGGGGTGGCTCCTTCATCAGTAGGGAAGATACAAGGGTGGGCTTTTAAAATCCCCCCCCCTTGTAAAAGAGTGCCATCAAATAGGAAAGTATGCTTTCTTCTCCTTTCCGTTTTATTTCAGGCAGATGCCCTATGCTGTCTTTCCCTCCCCAAAAAATAAAGATTTGTGGGCCCCTGGAAGAGTTTTGGGGTTTGCATTATAGGGCATCCTAAGGTCTTAGGGGAAAAGAAAGTCATTGGTAGCTTTGAAATGAGAGGGTGTTTTGACAAAATAAAGGGATGTTTCGGGTTATTTGGGAGTGGGGGCATCATCATGCAGATCGTGAAGGGTTGGGGAGGGAAATGCAGATAAATGCTGAGCTTATTTGCCTTTGGGAAACGTGCATGAACAGGAAAGCCCACATTGGATTTCTAATCTACCTTTATGATTTTAAAACATGTGCAGGTGAATTTAAGGAGGAGCGATGTCGTTGAAGATGTGTACCTTTTGGGTATGGGGGTGTGATTGATTTTGAGAGGTTAAATTCCCTGGATTAAGGATCTTGTGATAATATGCTAAGAGACTGCACTTGAATTCCTTAGGTCCTGCAAAGGTCAACATGGTATATAAGGTGAGGGTGGCCTTTCCTTTTTTTCCAGGCAAGGTGAGTCCTTGAATTGAGGTGCAAATGGGCAATTAAGATGTGCTTCAGAGTTAGAAGGATTTGAGAGTCTCTTAATAGGTTGTGTTGGGAGGGGAGACATGAGAGTGGGGTGTAGTATTTTAAGCTGAGCAGGGATTTATGTGAATACAAAAATAGGTGATACTTTTATAGACCACTAAAAATCATCATACAGCTTTTGTGGATTTTTAGTAGTCTGTAAAGATATTGCCTGTTTATGCATTTGCATTTTATTTTGTTTGGACCATAGGACTAACCCTTCCTTTATGTATTTTTGGCTGGTCAAGGAGGGAGGGTGAGGTCAAGGTGGTGTTTCATCATGGGCTGGTTTTCTCCCTTGTGAAAAAGTGCTTCTAGGAAGGGAAGAGATGGAAGAGGGGTGCCTTTTTTTTGAGGGACATCTAGTGATGGAATGGGGGCTAGATTAGGAATGCATTCTGGCCACCAGTTTCATTTTGAAAGTTCTTTTTTTATGACTATGTAGAAGGAAAGAGATTTTAACATTGTTTAAGCTAGAGGAAGGGGAAACACTACAGTATTTGTTTTGAGATGACCGTGGAGGGGGAGTGATGTTTTGTAAAAGCCTCCTACTCCATATCTGCATAGCAAATTTATTTCAGGATAGCTGGAATCTGAAATCATTGACATCGTAAATGCTGGATCACAGTGTCACAGACTTCATCACCAGTCCTCCACTGTTTTTGTCTTTGAGGAGGTCCATCTAGTTTCTTTGGCTGAGGAGTAGGGGAATCAGGCCTGAAGGGTTAGCATCCAAAATGGAGGGTCTCTGGTACTTTGTGCCTTTCGGTAATCTTCAGATTATAGTAAAGTCTTTTCCTGAGTTTTCTCTGTGCATAGCTATTTGTTTTTAAAAATCTAGGACTGGAGAATCTTAGATATGTAAATGGTATTTAATTTTGATGTTTCTTATGGTAAGAATGGATGATGTGTTTAGAGTGGTCTTTTATTGCATTGTCCTCTCCTTCACAAAAGTGGAGCCCTGCTTTGGTGGAAAGAATAACTGGTGGCTTGTTAGCTTACCCTTTGACACTGCATGATTGTCAGCCCCAGAAAATCGTGAGGGCGTGAAAATGCTGTTTGCCTTCTGTGTCTGTCTATTTACGGTCATTATCTTTAAAAACAGGCTTGAGTTCTTGTGGGGCGAATAGTCTGCTTGCAAACAAATTGTAGGTTAAATTCAAGTATAATGACATCAACCTGAAACTCTGATTACCTTGAAATGTGACAATAGGCTGCCCGGGTGACCTTTCCCCTTGACTGCTTGTGTGATTGGTCCTAATAATTTGTGGTGGGTTTGTATCCAATATATAATTTCCCCACAAATTTGGACAGTGATTGGTTGTTGTTTCCAGTTTTGTTTGCAAAGGGCTGACCTTGGATTAAAATTGCTTGTTAGTCTTGAGTAAGGCCAAGCTCGGATGTAGTTTCTGACAACATGTTCCTTGCACCCAGAAGAGAGATGTGCCTTGGGAAGGGTGCAGTATAACTAATCTAGCTTCAACTGAGTCTGTCCAGGATTTACACTTGAGTTCGGTCGGGCAATTAATTCTTTTCATTTGTTGCAAAGTGGTGCACAACAACGTGGTCTTCAGTCGAACATTAAGGGTAGATCTTTGTTCTGTTCTCACCTCCTCTCATCTTCCCGTTTTTTGTAAGAAGTTTACTACAGACACTTATTTGGATTGCTAAAACACTATGGATTAAAAAAAGCTTTGCATTTCGAATTGATTCTCTGTAATTCAACTTAAAAGTATTTCATCTGCTTTTGTTAAATGTTGTCTCGGTATTGGCTAAATCAGCTCCACATATAAAAAACACCAAACAGGTTAATTTTGGAAGACACACTCATCTTAATCATCTTGATTTGCCTTTTAATTAATTATGGGCCATTAAGCAAATTCCTACATAAAATGATCTTTCCCAAGTACTTGGAAGTGGTTTACCATTTCCTCCTTCTGGTAGCACTCTGAGGTCTGTGCAGCTTTCCCAAGGGAATTAAACACCTAATGCCTGGTTCCACAGTCAGGTGCTCCAACCCACTGAATTATCCTGCCAGCTTATATTTTCAGATTCTATTTGCTGTCTTAACTACATATTTATATTCTCCCATCAAAGAGCTTTGAGTATCCTTACATGTAGCATGGTAATCTGGAGAGCTGAACAGCAGCCATTAACTTCTGCTGAGTTCTTTGACGAAAGTTGCTTGGTGTCTGCAGATAACATCTTTCAGGCTAAAAATTCCCATCATCAAAAAAGATGTGGAAGGAAGCTTGAAATCTATAGGAAGTCACTGAACATGACATTAGAAGTGTATGCCTCCAGTATGATAGGCAGAAGTACAGGACTAATTATGCTTGCTTCAGAGCAGTGAGAAGCCATGGTTTCCTTCTATAAAGATACTGCAGAGAAGTTCAGGCATGCATCTTCTCCCATGCCTCTTGGAAGTTTAAAAGCTTCATCTGAGTTTTTAAAAAACCCTGCATTCTCCTGTGACATCAAAAGTTGAACTCTGGTTCATTGCAATTGTAGTTACTGAAAGCAAATCAAGAAGTGAAATAATTATTTGATCCTTCTTTGTTCTTAGATACGGTCATGTGATCCAGAGTCATACCCCCCTCCCCAAAAGAGAACTGTGATTAGTTTAAAATTGAAAGCAGAAGCTTTTAGTTTCCTTGTGGGACTCAAGGAACTCAAAAAGTAGAGCTGTTATATGGCATCCTGTGAATGGGAGAGAGGCTTCCTATAGTGCATCAGCCAAGTCTGAAATATAGTTTATAGTAATTTCCCATCCTCCCAGATACCAGATCAGTTCCATTTTATAGATGATATGCTGCTGAATATGAGAAAGCATTTTTTCAGTGGTTGGTTTAGAAATTCAAACCCAGACTTTTTGGGTTCAGTTAAACCTAGTGGTCCTGATTACAGGTTACGGTTTGGCTGTTCTCTGCTTCACATTCAAGGAGGGGAATCAAAAGCTGATGTGACTCAAGAACAAACAATTCCGTGTTGCATCTGAATACAAGGAACTGTCGTCAGTTCTAACTGGCCATATTAGTACAAAACATGAAACCAGAATTCCTTTGAATTCTAGCTTACTCTCATGCATTCTATGTGAACTACTCATACCTGGCTTCTTCTGCAAGCAGGGGCAGATAATCTAACTACTGTAGGAACTTTCTTGCTGGGGCAAAAAGGCTTATTGTTGCACCAAAACCAGGAGTCTTTGCTTGCTGTTTTTTTGTTTTTAACAAGCCAGGTTTTGAAGTTGCCTTCCACGTCTAAAGTTGTTAGAGGGAGAACAAACCTTATGTAGTTATGCTGCTGCATTTTTGTTGCTCAGTAGGTTGCTGGTCGGGTTAGCCCAGGGCGGGCAAAGTGCATTGTTCCAGATGTTTTTTTGGGATACCACCTATTGGAATTCTTTGCCTGAATCTGCTGTTAGGTGAAGTAAGGCACAAGCTGATATACTTAAGTGACTATTGCCCATGCATTTGGGGTCAGTCTGGGGTGATGTGTGTCTTCTGCACTCTGTCATTTTTTCCCTTTAAATCATGGATGCATTTAGGGATGCTCTGCATGATTAGTATCTGCATCGGTAACACTTTTATATAGGAAACTCCTCTGCAGTGCCCTCCCAAGTCATCTTAGCCTTTGGAAGGCCTAGCAGCGAGTTCCACAGTGTGGGTGTATGTGCCTGACAAAGTAGATGCAACTCGGCCTCATCTGAGGATGTTAATACTGTGTCCATGTGTATTCGTACATAAAAAGACATCTGTTTTTGAATCGGTGCTTGAGTGAGTGTTCCCAGTTGTTTGAAAGCTACAGTCAACAAAAATCACTTTTCCGTTTTCACATCTCATGCCTACACCTCCTTGTTCTTTCAGATTCATAAAGTGGCTTTATTTTGTAGTAGACTTTCTGCCAGTGTGCTTCAGGTCATTTGGAGTATTAAAGAGAAGAGTGACAGTGTTTATCAGACCAGATGCAAAAGAAGGAGATGGTTGGGGGAAGTAAACAAATGCAGGTACTTCCTCTTGCACAACGTTATGTAAAAGTTGTATAATGGCAGCTGGAGGAGACTGTTCTAGGAGGGAGAGATTCAAGTGGCAAGACCGTCCTGTTCTTACTCCAGCTCAGCTAGAAGGGGGTGCCTAGTTCATCTCTTCTCTGTTGTCACTTTCTCCACATGAAGAGAGATCTACCTGCATATAGGTTTTCCATCCGAGCAAGAAGTACAGTTTTTCAAGCTCATTCTCCAAGCATAGAAAGTGACAACAGGACTTGGGTCTCAGGCGAGCCAGTGGGAAGGCCCTTGCTTCTCTCTCTCTCTCTTGCTCTCAGATGAAGTTAGCTTATCTTGCTCAGGAACCCCTTATTTCACAGAGATACGGTTAGCACGGATTTTTATACTGTTTGAGATTCCCTGTCAAAAGAGAGATGTCATGCTTCATCCGTACTACCACCAAATGGATGCTTCATGTCTGAGTATCCCTAACTCAGCTAGAAGAGAGGATAAACCAGAATATGGCATTATCATGGTGCTGTAATCTGTTGTTGCTTTGAGTGTTAATTCATTAACATGTCGGCAGAAGTAAATATTACAGCACTTTAAAGCCTAACTTGTTTATTTCAGTGTGAGCTTTTGTGGATAAAAATCCCTTTCTTCAGACACAGGGCGTGCAGACACCCTGTGCAAATACAACTCGGCTCACAATGAAATACTGTAAATGTGTTGGTCTTTGAAATGTTACAATATTTTGCTTCAAACCCCCCNCCCCCCGTATTTCCCCTTTACTTTAGCCCAACATGTTGAGATGCTAACCAGGCTACTATTTTGACAGTTTAATAACAGTGGTTCCATAAAATGCAGCAAAATCCAAAAAGGTGTAGGTATTCTAGGGTTCCTTATAAGTAGTTGAGACGTAACTGGCGTGTTTGTAAAACAAACATGTGGTGACAGTTTACATTTTGGGATGTAGAATCCTTGTTGGTGAGGTGTTATTTACACAGCATCCTGAGCAAGGTGGTTCTCCCTGGTCAGGCCAAGGACAAACGTCATCATTTGTTAATGTTGAGGCTGTCAGTTTACAGTTAAAACTACTGACCGGTGGATCTGGTGTTAGCTTGAAACTTCCAGCAGATGCTTTTCAGGATCAGTTTTGAAAGTGACTGGACAGCACAGAACTTTCTCATATTTCATTGGTTAGATGAATAGAGAACTTTAAAATAGTCTACAAAAGTGCGGTGATTAACCAGGCAAGAGAATGTTTGTTAACCTGTAATATATATGGTAAATATTTAAACTGAAGATAGCAAGCCTCGTTTTAATATGTATTCTCCTGGTCTCTCTAAAATAAGGGAACACTTCATCTAAAATATGCCTTTTGCTTCAGAAACAATTTTTCCATGTCTACATTCATTTCACACACCAGTCAGCTGGAATGTATGCCATTTACGTTTCCTCAATTGAGTTGGAACCCTAAAAATAACTTCTTAGCCTCTGCATTGCAGGCACATGATTGTTGTACTTTTGACAATGGTTACATGACATCCTGCTGCTTTGTGAATTTGCCATACAAGTGGTAAATGTCGAAAGTTTGATACGGAAATAGACCAGTATTTATTTTAGGCTAAATCTTTTAAGTCAGTTTTTAAAATCAAGTTAATATAAGTTTGCAGTTTGTTTTAAGGAAATTTGTTTGCTGGTATACCTCAGTGGGTTGGAGCACCGGACTGTGGAATGTACAAAATGGCCCATTGCCCCCACAACTCATGCTGCTTCATCATCATAGATCTATTTGTAGGTACACCTTTTCAGGTACCCTTCCCTACTGCAGTTCGTCTTGGTTTGCTCTGCATTCATCAAGACTTGTAGATGAAAGATAACAAAAGTGTGTTAAATATCAGTATACGAATCGTGTGTGTTGTCCTGGGTCTAAATTTTATGCATGGCTTCTGCAGTTTCTAGATTGTGCCCCCCCCCCAGTTTATGAGTTGGATACCAGTTCCAGAGATCTTATACTCCAACTGGTGCTCCATTATATTATACCTAAAAGACTTTTATGTTTATGAAGGCTGTTAATGTAGCAACATGCTTCAGTAAACTGTTTTTTCAAAAAGTGAAATCATTTTAATGTTAATGCTACTGATTTTTATGGTGCAGTTATTTTAGATCACCTATAAACTGTGTTTATAGTCAGAGACAACTTGACTGCACACAACAACAACAACAATAGCAACAAACTACATGGCACCTCTGTGCTTCAGATTACTTAGTTTTAGGAGGAGAAGTGATTTAGAAAAATTGTGCATTCAGCTCTTCAGTGGCACTGCAGTATTGGGGAAAGTTTTCAATAGGTTTATGCTTCATTACCTGCGTTAAGTGTTTTAATTGAGCTCTAACTATCTCGTGATGCCGGTAATGTCACCAATGAATGTTAGCATGACTGACAGGGAAACATAATTGAAACATGCCTAGGTCCGGTCACCACCTTTGCCCGGCAGCTAATCTGCTAGTAATTGCAGCACGTTTCTGAGACCTGAACATGCAAGTAAATCTTCTTAAAAAGATGACCTTTGAGCTCTTCAAAGCTGCCAGCTTGAGAGGTCTTGTGCCAGTAGCTGTGTGATACCGTGCAAAGACACTTGGATGAAATGGCATTGCTGGCACTAAAGTATGGTGCAGTGGAAGCATTGGGAAAGCAGTATGGAGGGAGCTTTGCCTGTCCATGTTCAGCTAGCAGGAGTTAGGAGGCCTCTCCTCTGAATGGGGCATTTGTCCTGCAGGATGAATTAATTTTCAATGAATTTTCTTGGATTTATGGTGTAGCCTACTTAGAAGATCTGAAGTTGTGATCATTGCTTCCCCTTCAGTGTAACTGAAAGTGTTGTGGATGCATTTAGAGAATGCTTTTGATGGCACTTTGGAATCTGCTATGTTGCAGTTGTTGGCGGCTGACTATAATTTGGCGTTCATACACAGGTTGAGCTAAGAATAGGATTGTTTATATGGATGCATATACAGTACCTATCTGAGACAGTCTTGTTAGTCACATTTTCATAGCCTTGCCAACCCATTACAGTGTCTTAAATCCCAGATTAATCTGTGTGGTTATTTTGAGTCCAATATGCATGCTTTTTTTAGAGAGTCAAATTGAAATAAGCTGTGAGTTGGGCTAGAGATGCTGTATTTAAAATTATAGCTTCTGCATCTAAAATGTTCTGAAAGCATAAAATGCATAATATGGAGCATTTGTTTTTCTGGGCCATTAAAATATAGGAGCCGTCTGTAACTCAGACAGTGCATTTTTACTTGCCCGTTGTACTGCTTTAGCAAGAAGCAAGCTTTCTTCAGTTCTGTTTTGACGTGACTCGGGAATTATGAGATATCTCAGCTAGAGATTAGAAGAAATCAAGAGGTCCAGAGGTTGGTCACTTGTATCAGCCATGATGTTTTGTTATGTGTATTTAATGTAATTGGTTTTGAGCACAGTGGCTTGCTCTCACTTGCTTTAGATAACCCTTCTCTTTTCTTTCACAGTGAGAGGATCAAAACCTGGTAAAAATGTCCAGCTGCAAGAGAATGAAATAAGAGGACTGTGCTTGAAATCTCGAGAGATCTTTCTTAGTCAGCCCATTCTGTTAGAACTCGAAGCACCGCTTAAAATATGTGGTAAGCACTGTGTGGTTGGTTCCAGCGATCCCTTCCATGAGCTGATAATGAATTGGCAGGACTTCACGGGTGACAACGCCCTCCCATGTCTATTTGTGACCATAATAAATCCATCAACATTGCCACCCAAGTGGATTTGATGCATAATGAAGGATAGGCAGCTTTTGGCCTCCAGACTCCCACTGCCATCATCTGTCAGAACTAGTTGTACTGGGTAAGGCAGATGTGAGGTCCAGTCCTAGGTAACTAGAAGGCCATGTGTCCTCCAGTCCAAATCATACTGCACAAAGTAGACCCGGCTTCAGTAGAATGCTAAAAATCCCTTCTGGGAGTGAGTGAAAAAGAAATAACTAAATTTCTGGAACATCTTTAAGCTTGATGAGAAAAGGCATTTGTGAGATAGAAAATGGTTCGCAGCTGTATTTTGTTCATCCTTCCACCGTGGTAAGCTAAGACATGTGGAAGAGTATTTCAAGGGAACTTGAAGTAATTTTTTCTAAATTGGTATTGAGTGAATGTTGAACTTAAAGAGGTCCTTTTATTCTGGACCAAAACAAATGATTGAAATTCCTATGTTACTTTCGTATAACAGGATTTGTTGTGTTGCTAATCTGATAGACCACCAATAGTGTTGTAAAAGGTATGTACTCTGGTAGAATCTATGGCCCGGTCCATTAAAAGGTTTCAGTGAATGGAATAAAAACTACTCTATTCAGGGGGACCTAGAAGCCCCTTGGTTTTCTTATTCTTAGTGATGCTTTCCTCTTCGCCAAATTAGATACAGGAGCATGAACTGAATATTCTGTGTCTAGCTTTAGGCTGCTGGACTGGACAAACTGTATAAAAGGGTGTGCTTTTTTTTTTAAGGTGACATCCATGGACAATACTACGACTTACTGCGACTCTTTGAGTATGGAGGTTTTCCACCAGAAAGCAATTACCTTTTCCTTGGTGATTATGTGGATAGAGGGAAGCAGTCTTTAGAAACAATCTGCCTTTTACTGGCCTACAAGATAAAGTATCCAGAGAATTTTTTCCTCCTCAGAGGGAACCATGAATGTGCCAGTATTAATAGAATTTACGGTTTCTATGATGAATGTAAGTACTTCGAGATTGACTGTTGTGTCTTGAGAAAAGAGAATTAACATGTACTTTTAAAAAAAACTATAAAATGATTTATGGGTTTGGAGTGAGTTATGTATTAGTGAAGTTTCTGCTTTCTGTTGTTGCCCTCGTCAAAAGTGGCTGCTGGCCACCATGTCCCCAAATCACTTAACCTTTATATTGTTTTAAGTCTGCATGCCATGATCTTTTCCCTCTTGGGAATGAACGCTATTGACCTGTGATTGTGTAGTTTGTCCCATCAGGTGCCTGTATCTTGTACACTAAAGCATCCCATGCTGCCTTTCCTCTTCTCTTTGCTCAGTTGACATCACACTTGACTAAGTTTGCGATGGTTTACAGTGAACGTATTTCCAGCGGTCTATGCTTGCCTGTAAGCAAATCGTAAAAAACAGTCAGAGGATTTGCCCATAATGCTTGTACCATAGGATGCCATTCTAGACAGCCTGGACTTCAGTGCAACACAAGGCAGTGTTTAAGTAGATCCAGGATAACGCACTGTCAAAGCCAGTGGTAGTAAAGTTGTGTAGTGGTGAGGGAGGGAATGCTTGGGAAAATTAGCAAGCTGATGGCTTTTGTTTATCTTAAGTATTATCTAAATACCAGCAGCTTGTCCATAGTCTTTGGAAAGGGGTGCTGTGGTGGAATGTAGAAGCCACTGAGTCTTTTAACAATCTATTACTGAGCATGGCTGGTCATGAAGGCAAATGGTTTTTCTCACTCTTTTCCTCAGCAACTGATATTGACATTTTAAAAGTGGCTTGTCTCTAAACCTAAATGTTTCCACTGCATTATACTTAATAGCTATTGGTGAGCTTATAGAGGTGAGCTCTGTGTTTATTTGGATGAAAGAAGTAGCCTTCCTTGCCTGTTCTGAGTCTTACTTGCCAGTCAGTTATGAAGATGGCAACTCTTCAGAAAGGGCATTCCAAGCTTGGGGAACCTCTCTCGGGAGAAGTCCTCTCCTTGTGGTTCCCAGTAAAGAAAGCACTTGGAATAGGACCTCGGTGGAAGGTCTTAAGTCACAGGCAAGCTGGTGTGGTTTTCAGTTTTCTTGCCCCTCTTGATCGGAGGTGGCAAGAAACCGTACTTGTCACTGAAGTATATTTGGGCTTAGAGCTTTCTCATTAATTAGCCCTTAGTTTCCACTTCCCAGTACAGTATAAATGTTACATCACAGGAGGCAGGCGCCTCGGCACCAGGATTTAAATGTGGTTGCCTAGTGCCAGTTTGATTGAAATTCTAATAAGTCACATTGGTATTTACTGGAGCAGACCGAGCAGGTCCTGAAGAAGGAAAGTACAGCAGGAGGTTAGAATAGTGACGCTTCTCCTCCTGTAAAGTGATGCTGCTTTGTCGGTGCTTGTGTGATAACTGAAGTTGTGTCCTGAAATGTCTTTCTAGGTAAAAGGAGATACAACATCAAGCTGTGGAAAACGTTTACAGACTGCTTTAATTGTTTACCAATTGCAGCCATTGTGGATGAGAAAATATTTTGCTGCCATGGCGGTGAGTGGTTACTAGAGTTACAAAGCGGCGTTTGCCTCTATTTCCTGTTAGAGGCCCCGTGGAACAAACTCGCAGGTTACTGAGCTTTTCCTTTGACTTAAGACAGCAGTTTTAATTCCTGAAGTTCTAAAGCTACCCTCAAGTTATCTCTTATTCTAGAATATAGATCCTATCTAACTTTTTTTTAAAAAAATTAAGTTCATATTTCAGGTCTTAACAGATTTATGGGAGGAAGTAACAAGGTTTTGGAAAGAACCCCAGATCTGAGCAGGCCTACATATAAATCCATCCCATCTTGTGGGTATTCGAGGCCTGAAGAAGAAATCCCAAAAGTGGTAAATTTGGCAGTCCCATGAAATAACCCTAGAATGAGGGAGCCAAAGGGTTTCTGTGCCTCAGTTCAAGCATGTGGCTTCTACAGCTTAGTCTGACCGGCCTGCCCCTAAGGGAGCAGTCATGTACAGGCTGAAGAGGCAATCGGCCTTCTCAAAAACCCCTCTTAACTTATTCTCAGTTTTGCGGGGGGGGGGTGATAGAGAGCGCTGAGCAAGGCATTGGTATGACCAGATGGTACTGTGGGTGTTGCACCTCCCCCCCCCCTTGTATTTGTTATGACAGGGCTGCTTTCACTAAGGGACATTTTGTATGTGTGGACTAAGATACAAAGAAAATTAGACCTTGACTCATTTGGTAGCTGCCTGGACAACTCCTTCTGAAACGTGGTGCTATATACGTGCTGGCTCTCTGTGTGTCTCTTGGGAGTAATTATAGGTTACCCAGACAGTTCCCTGCGCTGTTATATAAATACTTGCGTTACACTAACCCAGCATCTCCTGCCCCCATGTTTAATTATCTCGTCCTGTCATCCCTGAACCATAATCTAAGCGACTGCAGTACGTCATGTACATCCTCACAAACAGGGATGTGGTGCTGGCGGAGATGAGGGGGAGGCTGCAGCTGAACAACTGTGAGAACTGAATCTTAACAGCGCTGCAAAGAGGACAGGCCGCCACCTCTCATGAATTGGAGGCAGCTGCTTTCAACCAAGCAAAGTCTCCTATGTTTCGAGCAGCTGAAATTGTCCCGGAGACCGAGAGGCCATGGTGGGCCTCTTGCTTTGGAGATAGGAGGACGGGAGGGTCTTATCTGCACTGAGCTCACACTTTTGTGCCACCCCAATATCCTATCATCTGGGTTCATCTTGGGCTCATCTTGCGAATTTGTTCAAGTTAGGTACCTGGTCGTTTTTGTGACATTTGTTTGTGCCACGGTCTCGAACACGAGCCCCTTTACAATGAGTTATAATCATCACCTCAGAGCTGCAGAGGCTGGAAGGGGGACTCTCGGGATCATCCAATCCAGCCCCCATCTGAAGGCCCAGTTTGGGGGGGGAGTCCAACTCCCAACCTCTGACTTCGCAGCCAGAGACCTCAACCCCTGACCTTTCCTATTCTGCCTGTGCCTCTGGGGCCTCGTTTTTTGAGAAGGGCTGACACAGAGGCCCAAATGCAGCTGCCTCATAGTGTATGTAGAGGGATTTGGGTACAGGCGCAATAGGCTTACATGCATCCTACTGTACATAGATGGTGCTTTTCAGTAAGTTATGTATCACAACCCTGAGGTCTTTCCTGTTCAGTCCTGCTTCCCAAGATGCTTTCCCTGCTTTGATGCGTTGAAACAAGAAGATACATTTTAAATAGCATACTCTTGTGTGTGCTTACTGTATCAGTTTATATTATTCCAGATTCTGTGCTGCTTGTTTTCCATGTTTGGGCAAACTTTCTGCTTTCTTCAACTTGTATTTTTTTTTTTAACTTTGTTTACTCTGCTCACTAACCACACTGGCATCCTCTTGGACTAGTTCTTATGTTTCCTAATGGATGTTATTTGTGTGGTGTTGGTGGGTTTCCCCCCAACACACACACACACACATTTAACAAATGTCCTGGAGAGATTTCACTCTCTCAGCGTCCATGTATTGAATCCCTCATTTCATTAGAATCTTCCTGTGTTGTGAGAACATGGCATATGTGAATGTTGAACTCCCCAGATAGCTTTCAATTCATGTCGACATTCATCTGTGTTGTGGTCGCTGATTCCAAAGCAGTTTGTCAAGGCTGATGTCTCGTACCAGATCTTGGGTTTCGTTCAACACTAAATCAAGAGACACTCACTCCTGTTGGTGGTGGTGGTCAATGGCTAACCTTTCCAGGAGAGTTGCTTATGTCTAAATCTTTTGTTCAACCTGAATGTACCTTTGCCTAGTCAATCTGAAGGTAGATAAGTAGTTACACTTTCACAATCTCTCTAGAACGTCTGGTTTCCTACTGCCCAACAGGTTTATCCCCGGACCTCCAGTCCATGGAGCAGATCCGGCGAATTATGCGTCCCACCGATGTGCCCGATCAAGGCCTGCTCTGTGATCTGCTGTGGTCTGACCCTGACAAGGATGTGCTTGGATGGGGTGAAAATGACAGGGGAGTTTCTTTCACCTTTGGAGCTGAAGTGGTTGCCAAGTTCCTTCACAAACACGATTTGGATCTTATATGCAGGGCTCACCAGGTAAGGACCCCAGAGGAGAAGACTTGTTCAGAGGAAGGAGTAGACCAACCCCTGGATTGTCACAGAATGATCTCATCCACAAGGCAGGCGTGGTCCCTTCTCCTCCTCCTGGTTCACTCCTAGGAAGGGCATCTGTGTGGCTTTGTCGGCTCCAAGTCTTGCTTCTGAAAATGGCAAAGTCCTTGGGGTGTCTTGCTTGTTAAAGTTAGCATTTGCATCTATGGAGAGCACTTGTAGCGTGTTCAGGGTTTTCTGTATATCACCTAACAGTAAAGAAGAGGAAAGGGTAACTCCGTTGGCCTTTCTTGCAGGGGTGTGAGGTAGCTTGGTGGTGCCCCTGTGACAAATTGGGATGGGAGGAGATGGCTGGGTTTGAGGGCGGCTTGCCTCACATCATGTCCGGTTGAGTATTTGGCCCCTGTGAGTCCTGAGCTATGACAGTCTGAGCTAACAACTCACACTCAAACCACAACACCCTCAAGGGATCCCTTTGCAGAGGGCTTTGAGGAGAATTATAAAGCTCTTTGTACAATCGAAATGGCAGCTGTTGTGCTCTGTCTTGCCCTGAAAACCAACAGTCCTTTTTGTTTTCAAGGTGGTTGAAGATGGATATGAGTTCTTTGCAAAAAGGCAGCTGGTAACTCTGTTTTCTGCCCCAAATTACTGTGGGGAGTTCGACAATGCGGGGGCCATGATGAGCGTGGATGAGACTTTAATGTGTTCCTTTCAGGTATGGTATCTTTAAGTCTCTTGGTGGTTCCGTCTCCCCCACCCCCCGTTAACTTGAATCTTTTCCCTCAAGGCTGGGTTTCTTTCGGTTAAGCCGTCAGAACAGTAAGTCCTAGCTGTGTGAAAATGCATTCCATTTTCTTTAGTCTCTCTGCTGAGGCGCCAGTCTGCATAAAAGAAGTAGGGCAGCTTTAATCTGTTCACCTTGAATTGGATTGTCTGAAGGATCACGGCTGTCCTTCTGCCTTTAAAGTGGGTGATCTCTAAGAGGGAGCATCAGATGTTGCCAGCTGTGGGAGGAAAGGAGGGACTGCATCTAAATTCATATTCCTGGTTCTGACCTTTAAAAGCCCAGAAAACATGCATCGTGACCGACTACCATAGGAGCCTCCTTAGGTATTACGGTTCTGTAGGGTCTTGCCCTGCTTTAAAAACTGTTTCCTTTCAAAAGAAACCAGGCTGGGGTTCATTAAGAGAAGGATGATCAGATATTTTCCCATGTTGTCTGATGTTCCCCTCCGAGGCTTTTGTGGCCCCCTTCCCGATGGCATGAAGGGCACTGTGACCTGTGTGCTCAATCTGTTCCTTAGGAAGAAATAATGTTGTTTTCCTAGATTGCTGTAGTCCGGAACCAAGATTCTAAATGTTCTGCAATGGTCTTTTCAATTGTCTTTTATGTAGCGTGGCTTTATATGGAGAGATGAGCAGTGGTGGATGTCTAAATAGGTCTGGAACATCCTGACCATAGGTTGCTTTGCCCTTTGGGTAAAGATGTGGGGTTTAAATGCATTCCACGGTCATATTCTTGGATAAGCACTCGCTCATAATTGTTGTGTCTTCTGTGGTTTCCTCGCATGCCTCTCTTTGTAGCTGAGCATGCTCAGTGCCTTCTTGCTCAATAACTGGATTGCCGTTGCAGATCTTGAAGCCTGCCGAGAAGAAGAAGCCCAACGCCAGCCGACCTGTCACGCCACCCAGGGGTATGATCACAAAACAAGCAAAGAAATGATCACTCTTTGACCCTGCCTGGTTGGGACCTTGTACTATAGTATATAATCTTCATTTTTTTAAAAAAAGGAAACGGTAATGTGTATTGGTCAGCTTGCTAAGACTAGATTAATGTGTTTGTGTTTTTCTTTTCTTTTTTAAAAAATTTTTATTTTGATGGATGACATTTGCTGGTTGTAACAGCAAATGAGACTTTCTCCCTTCTCAAGAAGAGTTTTAAACAATTCTGTATTTGGAGAGAGAGAGAGAGAGGGAAAACCCCCTTTTCCATATTGATATTCCAGCTGTTTCGTTCACAGCACCCTATCCCTGTCATTCCGGGTAATTGTACAACTGACTCCTTGAACCTGTGTACAGACCGGGTGGTGTGTGATGCCTGCTTTTCTTTTAGGACCTAAGGAGGCACTGGGGGGAGGGGGTGCCACAAGGCTAGGACACTTAATTCTGTCAGATTACATATTGTTTATACAAACCACTGTGAATGTCTTTTATTTTATTTTTGTTTTGTTCTAAAGGGATCGCTTTTTCTTGTCATGTGTACGAGTTTCTTTGTCAGCCTTTTGAAATCACACTCAACTTTTGCCAGCTTCACTGGTATGATGTATATTTTAACGGGAGCACCCTTCTCCTCCCGTATCCTATAAAACGACAATTAAAGCCATTATTTTAAAGGTTTTGTGTCTCTTCTTGCGGAACCAGAGCACTTGGGGAAACTTGATCGCTGCGGCCACTAGAGAGGTGCGTTGGCGGTGTCTAAGTTGGGTTTTTTCCTCTGCAGGAAGGACGGTTTGAACTAGCAGAGAGTAATGCTGTGATCAGCTGAGATGCTACTGTGCTATTTTAGCCAGTTCAGAAAGCCGTAACTTACGAGGAGCTGTTCAGAGACTGGCCTGAGAATTAGAATTCATTTAGGGTTTGTTTTTTATTTGCATCTGAAGACGTGCTCTGCAAAGCCTAGAAAACAACCAGCTACAACAGGGAACATTGGTCACCAGTTACTGTGAACACAGTTACATTGTTTTGGTTTCTAAGTTTTTTTTTTTTTAAGAAATTGTAATCTTTCTGAACAGATGACAGTGTACAATACAGTATGGTGAAATGCTTATTAAAATGAACAACTTGTTAAATCTTTGCAGTGTTACTTTTATCGGCCTCATGTGCATAGGGAATACAGTGAAATGTCAACCTTTTATTTTATTTTATTTTTAAAAAGCAAAGACACAGGAATCCAGGAAGGTGGTTAGAAATCCTCTTAACGAATTGAGTCTGAATGGCAGCTGCTCAGAAGAGAACTTGGGCAGCCTTTCCTGTTCTCTGGCGCCTCGGATTTTGAGTGGGTGTCTCTTGGCAGTCCTTGGCTTCTGTGACGCGAGACGCGAGTTCAGATTAGTCAGGACAGGTGAGCTTTCAGGCAGGTTGACTTGTCTGCTGTGTTGGGGATAAGGAGGTGTCAGAAAGGGGTGATGTTCCTGAGAAGACTATCTTTTCTGGCATGGACGTGAGGCAGACGGGTAAAAGGCCTAAACAGCTCTGGTGTCAAACTGCAAATTCTGACGGAAATCCAGATACACAGAATGTGGATGGCCAGTGACGTTTTCACCGCCCAAGGGAAGCGCTCGCACCTTGGAAAGCAACAGCATGATGTGCTGTGTCGGTGTCTTCGGTACGGTTGGGTCCAAATGGTGTTGCGAGCCAGGCCCATCTTTGATCTACGCGCAGAGATCAGCAGACGCACCGTCCACTCTTTTTCCTTTCTGCTGAGGCCGGGCCCCGCCAAGCTCTTACGTGACTGAAGCAGCATGGCACAGCCACAATCGCAACAGCATTTCCCTAAGCTGCGCGCACTGAGGTGTCTCAAACACCTGGCACAGAGGTCAGGGTTGTGTCGCTGGAGAAAAGGACTTCTCGAATCTAGGCTGGCTGGCCTTGGTCGGTTGCAGCATCTTGCAGCAGCCTCCTTCCCCCCCCCCCCC